AAAAAAAAAAATTAGAACACCTAGAAATATTTCACAATCTTGAAACTACAAAATAATATCCAAACGTGTCTTTAGATGAGTCAGTCCCACAATTCAAACACAGTAGAAGATAAAATTCCACCAGCCGAGCAAACACTGCAAATTTTGTAGATTCAAAGTGCTAGTCTCTTTCTCAGGATAAAACTAGGGAATTGAAATCAACGTAGAGGGAAAACTGCTTTACGCGCCTCTAATATAGACAGATTGTAATCCACACAAATTTCATATGTAAACACAGCTAACCAAGCTCTCCCTGCCATACTACTCTCATGCCTGTACAAATTACTGCTTTCCGACAATTATTTCTTTTTTAAGTTCATAAAATGTTTACAAATTTGGAATGTAATACCACCATGAAACACCAGAAATCTATACACAAGGAAGAACAGACAGTAAATATATCAGCATTCAAAATTTACAACACGCTTGAACAAACATATCACTATCTACCAAAGCATTTTCAAGATTAAATTACAAACATGCTCACCGTGGTCAGCTAGAATTTCACCTTTGCTAACCCTCCAACCCTAAAAGAGCGGACTTTGATGCGTATAGAATTTGCTAAAGCAGTGTAAGCAACAGCAGTACCAAACGCATAGGACCTGGTTGAAGCTCATAATGCTGTCAGCAATCTGGACAGGATCCATCGGAAATCCCTTGGCCCACACTTTTAACTTAAAATTTAATTTCCCTTGTGCACATCATATCATGGTTCCTGTTCCGTTGGAGAACCAGGGGCAACAGGAGTAAACCCCCGACCACCAAACACCGGGCGCATGAATGAATCATCAAACTTGCGCCAGTATCTATGCACCTTATGAGTTGGCGCGGAAAGTAGCATCCTTAAACTGGGTGGGTGAGGAAGTTCTTGACCATTTAAATCGACTTCAGAACCCTCTTGACTGCCTAGAAGTGGCGCTGTAAAAGACTTTGGACTATTTGCATCTGATGACACTGTACTTAACTGCCTCTGTGGTGGCAGCAGGAGACTTATAAGAGGTTTTGTCATTAAACCAAATACCTGGAAAAAGAAAAAAAACAAGTTTACCATTTTGGATTTCGTGCATGAATGGACAGTTGGATAACTATGTATGAACAAGGTTCTAGCAAGAAAGAATGTCAAGGCAGAGGCAGGAGGTATATACCACTGTGCTGAAAAGAACAATGGTAATGGTGCTGGTAATCATTATTGCGTTGTCTTGCAATTGAGTGTGTCCCAAACGAGTGAACTGCATGATTAAATGATCAATGATTCATGACATAAAAGAATATGAGGATGTGAAAATAAGGAACATGAAGTGTGCATATAAGGGCTGAGATTCCCACAAGAGTCAGCATAATGGCTTAGCAATTTTACCTTATTATATGCCAGAGCCATGGACACTGCACCTCTCATCAAACCAGCCCACCATATTATCACCTACAAAACAAAGTTAGCAATCCATATCCGTATGAGATGGATAATCAGAGAGAATTTGATGAAGCCACTGCTTACTTGCTGCCTAAAGGTTATTTTTTCCTCTGAGGATTTCTTCATCAAGTTGGATAAGAATGATAATGGAAAAACAAAGGCAGCTCTCCCCAGCAAGATTAGTCCCATCAGTATCGAACTTACTGCAACAGATAATCCAGGACTGCAAGAAATAACAGAAGCACCAGATAAAGACTGCTGACTGTTTGACAATAAGTCAAAAGGGAGGAACATTAACACTGTAAGAGAAAATACTACTCCTTCAGCATACCGATCACTAACAAATTTCCACTTCTCGATATCCAAGGCATCCATACCGACATAGAGGAAGAGGAAAGTCTCAGCAAGAAATGACAAAGTTGCAAAAGCGTGCCTACAGAAACATAGAATGATAACATTAATACTTGAAGTATGCGGACAAAAAAGTCACTTCTTAAGCACAGGTAATAGCTTATGATTGTGGCACCCGATAATATATATAAATGATTGTTTGCATAAGCTAGAAAAATGAGTTTGTCTATTTGTAAAAGCTAATCAGACAGCTTATTACTTTTAGTAGTTGTAAGGCCTCTCTCGTATGACCTTAAGAATAGGTTGCAGGTTGAAGATGAAATAGATTTATTCCATATTGTAATAAGAAGTGCAAAAAACTCTTGTTCAGGCAGAATAAATTGGAAAACCTCACGGCAGAAAAGTAGGAAAATTGTACCTTGTAGTGACTCTTGAACTCTCAGTCACATTGTGCCAAGTGTAATGGGACATTACAATACCACAGAAAAATACAGTGAGAATCCCACTCAAATAGAATAGCTGCAAAGGATGAATGATTTAGTCGCTAATATCAGAAACATGTATATTGGATACAAGTGCCAATTAGTTAAAACTAAGATCTTACTTCAGCCAACATGTATGATAAGTAAGCCATGAGCATCATAAGTGCAACCTCGCGATCTGTGGAGTGCCTGGAGACAGTAAAAGTAACAAGTCATTACTGTTATTGCAATAAGAAAAGGAAGTAAAGTAAGGGAAAATGGGTCAAGAAGTTTTTCCAATAAGTTAGAGAGGAACTAGGCAAAGTTTCACTAAATAAGAAACTCTAAATCTCAAATGAATCATGTTAAACTTTTCCGATTTACAGTTTTATAAGAATCAGAAATGATGTGCTGCCATAAACCCTTAATTGAGGCATCACCTGCCAAAATACAGCTTCTTGATAATGTAAGCACTAAGAAGACCAGTCTGCAGTAAGAAAAAGATGTCAACTAGAGGGGTAAAGCCTAAGTAGAAGTCAATATCAAAGATTTAAATGAAGCATCATGGACACATTATTTTTCCCACACAAAAGCACACAAAGAGAGTGAAGCTTACTGCTGCTCCCAGTAAAGTGCTAGCAAGGAACAGATATAAGAAGTTGCCAATGAAATGAAGGGCAATACTGGAATTCACACTCGAAAGGTCAAAGTTCTGAATAGCATTGAAAAGCACCACCGATGTAGCATCATTTACAACTCCTTCTCCAAATACAAGACTGTAAAGGAGGGGTGTCTCATCCTGATGTAGGACCTGCAGCAGCAAAAACTTGTACTTCAGGGCATTCTATTGGGTCATTAGCATATGTTGAGGTCACTGCATCTGTACCTGCAACGTGCAGACGGAGTCTGTGGCAGCAAATATTGCTCCAATTGCTAACACATTCAAGAGAGAAAGAATAAGAGCAGTCAGAGGTAGAAACAGAAGCAATCAGCAACAGAATAAACACAACAATGATTCGAATAATACCGAGATAATCCCCAATATCTAGAAATCCAATGTCCAACTTCTTGAAGAATTTAATGGCACCTTCACACGCGACAGAGAAAAAATATCAGCAAATACTAGTTATCTAAGCTTGAGAGAAACTAACACATACTACATTATTGAAATTCTATTCAAAGATTACGATATAACAGGGATGATTTCATTACCAAAAACAAGGATACAATAGCATGTCTGCGGCAAAACCCAATGTGAATGTACTAAAATGCTTAGAACTGCAGATATCAAACACATTTACCCTAGTCCCACTCATTATGAATAGAGCAGCTTTGCAACATTGCTTGATGGAAAGAATGTAAGCAAATTCGAGACCTCTTGAAATCACCTTCTTCTTCCTTACCATCAGAACATCTGGAGTATAAATGTTTATTCACCATCACTTTCAAGGACATGGACAAGACATCATGCATGCCTATGTAGGCGGCTTGATATGTGGAAAAGTATATGAAAATCAATTATGCGAAAGTTTCCACTTGATGAACAAGCACACTGACAAACGACCATGTTGTAGCAAAAAAAAAAAAAAACACTACAAATCATTAAACTCATTACAGTTTCATCCCTCATCAGTTCATGACTCGTAGGGAAGACCTCGGGAAATAAGAAGAGATTAGGTACTGTGAGAAAGCACGGGAGAAAATATATTATTATTTTGTTTATAATATAATTTCTGATTGGATTTGATTTTCGTTCTTGAATTAAAATTAGGGTTTTTAGGATTTGGTTTCAGTGAGTTGTTCTTGTCAATTTGATTTTTAGTATCTTAGGGTTATAATTTCAATTTGTTATTGAATAATCTGTGTTTGCTGATAATTTTCCTTTAGTTCTTTATGTTATAGTTTCATTTTGCTGGTTTGTTTCATTATTACCAGCCTTTAGAACTATAGTTCAATTAGTAATTAATTTCAGCTCTAATTAGAATTAGTTAGTTATATTGATTAATCCATTTTTAGTAAGTTTTTGGTTATAGCTGAAGGGTTTTTAGNAAGGTAATTTAATTTACCAACCAACCGTCTATATCTTGCAGCATCGCTAAGAGGCTCCCCCTGTCCTGGCATAAGTTTAGAATTCAGATCCATCGGAGTGTCAACCGGTCTACAACCTGTCATTCCTGTCTCTTCAAGAATATCTAAGGCATACTTTCGTTGTGAGATCACAACACCTGAGCTAGACTGAGCGACCTCAATACCCAGAAAATACTTTAGTTTGCCCAGATCCTTAGTCTGAAAGTGTTGCAAGAGATGTTGCTTCAATTTAGTAATACCATCCTGGTCATTGCCGGTAATAACAATGTCGTCAACATAGACCACCAGATAAATACAGAGACTCGAGGCAGAATGCCGATAGAATACAGAATGATCAGCTTCACTCTGAATCATGCCAAATTCTCGAATAACTGTGCTGAACTTACCAAACCATGCTCGAGGAGACTGCTTTAGACCATAAAGTGACCGACGCAAGCGACATACAAGGCCACGAGACTCCCCCTGAGCAACAAACCCAGGTGGTTGCTCCATATAAACTTCATCCTCAAGGTCACCGTGTAAAAAAGCATTCTTAATGTCCAACTGATAGAGGGGCCAATGGCGAACAACAGCCATGGATAGAAAAAGGCGGACTGATGCTATCTTAGCCACAGGAGAGAAGGTATCACTGTAATCGAGCCCAAATATCTGAGTATATCCTTTGGCAACAAG